ATGCAGACCCGGTAAGCCTCTTACATGAGATTAAACCCCTGTTTGGGGCGCATTATTTAGGTGCATTATTCAGGCGGAAAGTAGAAAAAAATGACCGTAATTTTCAAATGTGAGCCTCAACTGTGAGATAAAAAGTCAAAAATGGTGGCTGGCAACGGTTGGAATTTTTCTAAATACGTAGAATTAAAACCGAACAAACAGGGGCTCATATATGGAATTGATTATGATCAATGAAAATACTGAAGTTGAAATTTTATTTGTATTATTCAATACTTTCAAAATTATATTATCTATCAATCACCTCCTAAATCTTTTTTCTGCTACAATAGTAAACAATTTGGACGATCATCTCTAAATGCCAATATAATTATTTATTCAAAAAGTCAAATATCTCTATAGCAAAGTTTGAAGTGTCAGTCTACGAAAGTTTTAGTTAAAAAGTTAGATTTTTAATAGATTTTGATAAAAAATCAAAGAAATTTGCAATTAGAAAGCAGTGATTTTTGATTTTATATACAATTAAGAGTCGATGATGGTAGTTAGCGACTTAAGTCGAGTTGTTAGCTGTCCACAATAAGTCCCATGAAATATGTTACTAAAATTAAATATTGAATGGAGCTTGATAGCATAACTCGAAAACAAACAGACCTCATTGTTTATCAGTTACAGCTTATTAAGATCACTTTCAGGCACGAAGAGTCCATGGAAGCCATAGGGTACCCTCCCTGGTAACTTAACAACTGCAACAATGTCAAGACTCGGGGACTTAGCATCCATGACCAAGAAACTTGACTGGTTCGAGTTCTCATTATGTACATACGTCACCACATAACCGTCGTCCTCCTCGACCTCTGGATTATTGGGCTCTCTCGGCACGAAAAATGGTTCACTTCCGTAGCAGCCTGTCCCATATAGGCGGCTAGCCACTACACAGCCGCCGCACTCTGTCTCGGCAGATAGCGTTAAGTCTACCTTCACCACCCCTGCTGCTCTCGGCATTGGAGCTCCAATTGCTGCATACACATACCTATTAAAAAAAAAGATGGATTCAGTGCCAAAACTAACGGAAAAAGATACAAAAAAAACCCTTAATTTTTAGGTTAAATATTTCTACAGTACTACTATCTATCTTCAGTGATGATCATTAATAGTTTAGGTGGCAGTTAACTCCATGATTTACTATCCATCGCGTTAAAATGTAGCACAACTTCATTTGACAATGTATTAGGGTCTACTGTCACCTAAACTGATGATCAATAGCATTATTCATATTTCTATGTGAACATTTTTTTATTGCATACTTGTTCTTCTTCCGGAGATAAGCGGAATTAATCACTCCGAACTCTAGACTCTTGGTTGAAACAGGATGCCTTGATACAGTCTCTGCCTTGATGTCTACTGTAATTTTTTCCAATGAAAAATGGATCATATCCATGTTGTCGAAGATGTGCTCAACCGGTGATACATTTGGCGCGACAAGGACTATTGTGTTACCGTCATCTTCCTCCCACGCATTAATAACATGAAGTATAGTGAGTCCGGGCACGTCAATCCACCACATTTCGGATTCATCCTCAGCATATCGTGGTATAAACCCTAGCCGTGGCACTTTATTCGGATCAACCCCCATTGGCGATCTTCCTTTGATAATTTCACTAAGGTTCATCCCTATTTGTGTCTCAGGAAATATTGCATAATTTTTTGTAAGAGCAAAATCATGAATAAATGAGGCCTTTTTCATTGAGAAAATTGGGACATCCTTTTGTTTAATTCCGTTGGCACTGATTCTGAAAAAGGTCAAGAATGGAGGCATAGTGCTGCTGTATCTGAAGGCGAAGGCTTCACCTGTATCTGAATCGATTTTGGGATGCGCTGTCATAGTCGAGAATGGCTTCCCGAAAGAATCATGGCGGCCTAAAGTGATTATATCACCTTCTGACGTAACTTTAACAGCATAAGGTAGATCGGACTCGCCTAATGCAAAGAGATTTCCTCCAAAAAGAGCTAAACTTGTGTTTGCCAGGCCAATGCCATTGATGGGATTGAACTGTCCGGTGAGTACTCGGGCTGCAGTGACCGCACAACGCACCAGAGAGGCCGCGAGGCAATTGAAAGCAGAGAACAGATTAGGAAACACTGGTGAGCCAATTCTGCGTTCAACCATGTATTTATACGTTTCCACATAGCGGCTACAGAAGGTGGCTTTGCCTTGAGAGATTCTTATTGAGTGAAGCATTCCATCACCATCAAAGAGATGGTAAGGGCCACATGGAATGAACTGAGGATTGGGGCCATTACGAATGTATGCACCATCAAGGCACGATGGAAGGTAGCCTTGGATCACCTCAGACTCTGTGGGGGAAAGCTCATCTACCCGTGCAAAGTTTCCCGAAAGAACATATTTTGGATCAATGGAGGGGCGAAGGGGCGGATCAAGAAACTCAGCTATGAAGCGATCAAGGGAGTTAAAGATAAATGTAAATAATGATGGCTTTAATCTTGTTTCTACCAGTTCTGTTCCTTGAATTGATGATCTTTTTGTACTAAGCTGTCCAGTGCACTTCGTCACCTTTCTTAGAGGCTGAATTGTAATAGTTTCACTTTCTTGTGGTCTTTCTTCATTTCTAACCGATGAAAAATTCAACGGAGAAATCCTAGGCGGTCTCAAAGGTGTTAAAAGGTGGTTCGCGGCAGTGCTAGGAAAGGGAATATTGGTTGGATGTTGAAATTTTGAAAAGAAATAGGAAGAGAGAGGTTCCATTATTGGTACGTCTAGTTTTCACCGGTCTATGTACTTATAAGAAAATGCACACAACAAATTTCATGGAAGAGATTCTAGAATTTAAAGCATTAAACATTATTTACACGTTTTCATTAGAAATATGTGGATGGAAAAGCTGAACTTCTTCTTCTTCTTCTCTCCCATTAGACCACAAGTTTATGGAAGAGGAGGAGGAGAAGGGAAGTTTGAATACGTGATTGTTTGATAATACATTTTGACTAGTTTGAGGACAATTCTGTTTGTGTTGAATATGATGATGTGAGGATGTCGTCCAACCAATATAATCGAAAAGAAGAAAAATAATTAGATAAGACACAAAAAATTTAAGTAATTCGACAAGATGCTTAAGTCCAATGTACGGCGCAAATAATTCACTAACTTCAAATATGGTATAATTTAAAATTTGAGGAAGCTCTTATTCAACAAAATATAGAGTTAACTGTGCATCACAAAGTGCGTATTTATTCTAATTGAGTTGTCATTATACTCATGATGATGTCATTTTACAAAACATTTTCAAAGTATGTATACCATCAAGGATCATTTATAATTTATCAAAAATTATTGTAGTACCTTTTATATTCTTGGACTATGGTCTC